TGTGACAATGCAATATTCTACCAAGAATTATACAAATTAGCAGAGTTCCCGCTGTGGTCACCAATGGCGCAATGCAGTCTTGCGGTCAAGCAGATGGCTTGGCTGAGCACCGCTTGACACAGAAATGCCACAATAGCAACAAAACCACCAGGGGGGAAATCAAAAGTAAAAGCAACCGACAACAACAAAATTGGCTGCTGTAAAAAATAAAAAAAAAGTAATAATAAAAGTAATGAAAAAACAACACACTGACACACAAAACCACATACTGAAAAGACATTACTAAAAAGCAGACCTATTATCCTTTCGCCTGACTTGGTTTACGTAGCAGTTGTTGAATAAATGCTTATTTATATGATGGGCACACATACCTACCACAACAACAAAGGTTTCGTTAGACAGCATACGCTTAATTTACACACCTTTAACTGTATGTTTTTTGTGATTTTTTAATGGCTTTTCTTGGAAACCAAAAAAAATTTATAAATAACTAACGGTATTCAATCACATTCATTTCTAATATTTTCACAAATTTTACGAAACATACGCTACGCATACGTTTAATACTAAATATTTGATAATTTCTCTTTTCAAAACAATTTTTCTTTTCTTCTCAATCACTCCCGTCACCGGCCTCTGAGCACACAAGAGACTACAGTTCTGCTTCCGTACGTCGCGAACACCGCAGTTGGACTAATTTCCTTTGGTAAAAGTGGGTGTTGCTTTTGGTAATTATGTAGCTTTTATTTTACAATACTTTCTTCATTTTTCTTTTTGGAATTTATTCAAATTTATTATGGGTGTGTGATTGTGTGTTTGATTGGTGTAAACAATACCTGCGCACTGTCGTAGCCTTTGCGATTTCCGTTTTTGATTATTTTCCAACATAAGAGGCAGCAGCGTGCTTTTCCCGCAAAGTTTAGAGCTTTTGAAAAAGCTTTATTCATGACATGTGCCTAGATTCAGATGCACAGGGTGTACTTGGTATTTAAAATTTTTATTATTTTTAATTTTAAATGTCCCATTTAAAAGGACTCGACAAAAATATCATCTATATGGTAACCAGTGTAATGGTATGTAGTGTCCTAGGCAACACTATGGATGCATTATCGTCTATGTAAGACCAAATGGGTCAGCCAGCGCAAGCTTACCTAACTTAACCCTAAACCCTTCAGTAAAAATAATTCGTACTAATAAAAATTACTTAATTTTGATCAATTGGCCACCGCCTAAAGTGTTAACATAGGAGAGAATACTCTTAGTATTATAAACAATCAAAAAGTAATTGCGGATTTTTCACATAGTCGGCGTTGACAAATTTTTACAACGGCTTGTGACTCTGTAGTTGCATTCTTTCTTCTGTCAGTTATCAGCTGTTACTTTTAGTTTGCTTTAGAAAAAAAGTGCGCGAAATTTTGTTTACATTTGTTTGTTTGGCGTCAATTTTAATATGGAGCCCACAAAGGAGCATTTTCGTCATATTTTACTTTATTATTTCCGTAAAGGAAAAAACGCGGAGCAGGTTGCTAAAAAGTTACGAGATGTGTATGGTGATGAAGCCTTAAAAGGAAGACAGTGTCAAAATTGGTTTCGCAAATTCCGTTCTGGAGATTTTTCACTTAAAGATGAGCCACGTTCAGGTCGGCCAAATGAAGTTGATGATGACCAAATCAAAGCATTAATCGAATTGGATCGTCATGTAACTGAGCGTGAGATAGGAGAGAAGTTAAATATACCAAAATCAACCGTTCATTATCACATAAAAAGTCTTGGACTGGTGAAAAAGCTTGATATTTGGGTACCACATGTATTGAAAGAAATTCATTTAACACACCGAATCAACGCTTGTGATATGCACCTTAAACGCAATGAATTCGATCCGTTTTTAAAACGAATCATAACTGGAGATGAAAAATGGATTGTTTACAACAACGTTAGTCGAAAACGATCATGGTCCAAGCATGGTGAACCAGCTCAAACCACTTCAAAGGCTGATATCCACCAAAAGAAGGTTATGCTGTCTGTTTGGTGGGATTGGAAGGGTGTCGTATATTTTGAGCTGCTTCCAAGGAACCAAACGATTAATTCGGATGTTTACTGTCAACAATTGGACAAATTGAATACAGCCATCAAGGAGAAGCGACCAGAATTGGTCAATCGTAAAGGTGTCATATTCCACCAGGACAACGCTAGACCGCACACATCTTTGGTCACTCGCCAAAAACTGAGTGAGCTTGGCTGGGAACTTTTGATGCATCCACCATATAGCCCTGACCTTGCACCATCAGACTACCATTTATTTCGATCTTTGCAGAACTCCTTAAATGGTAAAACTTTCGGCAATGATGAGGCTATAAAATCGCACTTGGTTCAGTTTTTTGCAGATAAAGGCCAGAAGTTCTATGAGCGTGGAATACTAAATTTGCCAGGAAGATGGCAAAAGGTTATCGAACAAAATGGCAATTATATATTTGATTAAAGTTCATTCTAAGTTTTATTAAAAATGCATTTACTTTCTTTTAAAAAATCCGCAATTATTTTTTGGGCAACCCAATAGTAGCTTCATTCCTAACTTTGGCCCCGACAACATTTTCGGCAACAACCTCATTGGGACAGTTAGTAGGTGCCATAACAACAACCTTCGGCTCTTCCACTTTGGATGCGGGCAGCAGCTTCTATCTTTTCAACTTCTTCGGAAACCCGGTAGAAGAACAAATGAACCACGGATCATTCACTTACAGGTTAGATGATACCGCGCAACGAGAGCACTTCACGAGAGAACAACCACCCTATCAAACCAATGGAATGTGGATATTTGTTGTTGAATGGAATGGCAATATCGGTGTAGCACAATGATGCATCAGGATGGTTACTTGAGAAGCTTCATTAATGTGTTCATGAGTTTAATTTGTTATCGGTTTTAACCCACAGATCACGGAAAGATGGTTGAATTTGATTGATGAATGCATCAGGACTGAAAGGAAATAAAATGACAAAGGCGTCCTGTGGGTACTCAATAGCGGAGATAGCACATGCGGTCAACATCAATGTTTCCCAGGTGTTTCTTATGTTTATTGTGTGGATATCATCAGCACGGCACTTGCTGTTCCGTTTGGAAGTTTACGTTAATTCTTAGCCGCCTCCGAACAGCTGATAAAGTTTTAATAGGAGCTTTTTATTTCATGTCAGATTTATACACGAGGGTATGGACATTACCCGCCGAGGGTAGACCGCAATAAGAAAACTTTTACTTAATTTTTTTTATTAAAATTAGTATTTTATAAATTTTATACTTGAAGGTGAACCCGAGCCTTCCGAAAAGGCAGTACGCAATGTTAACCACTCGGCTAGCTCTATACAGTTTCATATGTATTGATAATGAGTGTGTCTAGTCGCTTCGTTCAAAAGGTATGACTAAAACGAAGTTCCATTAGTGATTGAAAATATCAAAACAGACATCGCAAATCTGAAGAGAAACTTCCGATGAATAATTTTAATCAGTTATAAAGTGCGTCATTTATTTATTAAGCCCAGGACAAAGTGTAAGAAACTCGTACTACGACGACCGCGGGGTTATAGCCGAGGTTCGATCTCCAGACGACAAGAAAATAAAAGAATAAATTGTGAGGTTCGGGCCTCCCCAGGAGAGATTACGTTCTCACTAAATCTAAATATCAACAAGCTCGTAAAGGTGGAGAGTAGTATCTCACCAACAACTTTCCAGAAGAGGACTAATTTCTCACTGACCACAAACAAAATATATTCTTAAAAACATGAAGTCTTTAAATATCTGGGGAGTAGGTTCTCCCTTCTGCTTATACCGAAAAAAATTCACCTATTTTCGCGTGAAAAATCGGCTGACATAGAAGTGGACTCAAACCTCTTGGGTTATCGGTCTGCGAATGGTCTGCTATAACAATTCTTCACGACGGGAAGTTGATTCACATATTTATTTATCGGCTTACATCTCGGTCGCCCGTCAACAAGCACAAAGTAGATTCGATGTAGAAAAGCTGCAACCTCACCAAACAACCGGTTTCCTATTCGAATTGCACACCTCTTTTTTGACAACATTCATAAGCAACTCGATATAAAGGAAATTTCGCTCTTGCCACCGCTACGGAAACAGTAGGTTTTCAGCAGCGCTAGGAAAAGAGATGTTATGATGAGGATTTTTGTGCCGCAGTATAGAGAAAATATGCGGGGTAGGATAGATATCTAGAGCTGAAGAGGGAAGCAAGATGTATTTGCAGACAAAAAAATTGAGAAACTACCTGGCAAGGCTAATGTTTGAAAATTCAATCAAAAGACGCCTAACAGAAGGTATAAAGAGCGCAGCACACTGCTGTAGACACCAATGTCGAAACCAGGAAGGACGCACTTCTCCAGCTTGCTGAAGCCGTACAGTGCCAGAAGCGCAGTCAGGGCGGGAATGATGAGCGACTTGCATCGACTCAGATTTGTCATCGCCCAGGCGTCCGCTCCATGTAGAACGGCGGGTATGATGAATGTCTTTACTTTTAAACTGCCTATAGAGTCTAAAGCAGCACTTCTTGGCTAAACTGATGCTGCGTTAAACTTACGGGCTGAAATTGTGGTTGGTGTTTAAGCTGGTTTCAAGACTGTCAGTTATGACTCCCAACAGTGACTTGGAAGCTGAGCCATGAACGTGCTATTTACTTGTTTAATGACAGAAGATATTTCCTCTTGTACCGAATGTTAAGCTTAGCTAATTTAGCCACGTCCGTCTGCTGGTCTGGCTGTCTGTTTGAAGGCATACTAGTCGCAAAGTAGTAGCAATATATGAAGTTTTCTATCTAATCTCAGTACTCGCTCTGTTGGGTGCCCTTTTGCCGACATTACTTCAGTTTGCCCTGTAGAAACTTTCATTTCCGCAGAAACTCGATTGTGGCTAGATCACTCAATTATGAGTATAAATAACTAAAAGTTTTAATTATATAGTTTTATTGTTTATAAATATATTACAACATTTACAAATTTATTACTAATGGCAGAATTTAGTTTTTCGTTGATCACATTGCTGGCGAGAAATTTATGTCTTACGTATGTACTTGTATGTATGTATATGTATATGTGTGCGTGAATTCCATATTTTATCTAAACCTAATGACTTGACTTAATCTTTGTATAATAAATTAAAACTTACAATTACATATATATACAAAAGTACATACTAATATATGTACGTTACTAATTGCGCATGCGCCACGCATTCTTTATCATATCCGCCGCTTTCTCCGCAATCATAATTACAATGGCATTTGTATGACCAGCCGGTATTGTTGGCATAATCGAAGCGTCGGCAATGCGCAAGTGCTTAATGCCATGAACCCGCAATTGCCCGTCCACCACCGCAGCAGTGTCCGTCGGTGGACCCATCTTACAAGTGCCCACTTGATGTTGCAAGCTCGAACCGTAACGACGCAAGCAACACTTCCAGTAAGCTCTGCTATGGAAGGTCAAATGCTCGCAGCCCAAAAAGGGTTTGGCATTGAATGTAGTGCCTAAACGACGCATTGCCTTCGTTTGTGTGATTTGGAAGATCTGAAAGCGATTGGTAAGACTTATCAACTGGCGAGAGAAGAAATATATACACAAAGTAACTCACCATTTGAACACCCTCTAACATGGCACGTACATCGTCTGGGTCTTGCATATAGTTGGGCTCCATACGCGGCCAGTGGAAGGGGTTTGTGCTGCGCAGCGAAATGCGGCCACGACTGCGGGGACGCAAAAGAACTGGCACCAAACCAAATGTTTCCTGAAAACAAACAGATATGGGGTTCTTATTCAATGCGTTAGCTTTATTTTTGTTGTATTCTTTGGTTGCCAACTAACTTTATCATGCAAACCCTCATAAACTTTATAGTAAAAATCATCTGGCATGCCAAGCAGATCGCGTAAAGAGCCCATATGGTCACCACTCAGCGAGCCAGCACCCAAAACGATCTCCATATCGGCGTAGTCCTTATCTATTGAAGAAAATTTCTAATAACTAATATTCACATTTCTAATTGCATTTACCTACCAACAGTCGCATTCGGCGTACGCACGAAGGCGAAACCCTCTGCGCCACCGGGTATAGTATAAGGGCCTCTACCTTCGAGTATATAATGCAGTATATCCGCTGGATTCATTAGTCGACGATCATTCAGTGTCATTGTATCGTTCACCACAAACACCAACCCATTCAGTGTCACATGATCTTGCAGATTATAGCCCACTCGCAAGTCGCGCACCACAGATATGCCCATCTCTTCCAAATGCGCACGCGGCCCGATGCCCGATAACATGAGTAACTGTGGCGAGGCTATAGCGCCCGCTGAGAGTATTATCTCCTTCCTGGCTCTCACCACATAACGCTGATGTTGTTTTACAAACTCAACTGCCGTCGCTACTCTACTCACCGGGTCCACAATGATGCGTGTTACCCAAGACTTCATTGAAATGTATAAATTTGGACGATCCAAAATTGGTCTGATAAATGCCTTACTCGTACTACAACGTCTGCCATTGCGTAGATTCGCTTGTGCGCGCGCAAAACCCTTCAGCTGCTCACCATTTGGATCTGTAATTTCATAGCCCAGCTCGTGACCCGATTTTAAAAATGCCTTCAGTACGTGCGATTTGAAGTCTGTATAGCTGACATCAAGTGGCCCATTGCGTCCATGATATGGTGATTTACGCAATTCTTCAATGTGGATATTTTCCGATTTCTTGAAGTAGGGCAACACCTCATCATAACTCCAGCCACTATTGCCGAGTGCAGCCCAGTGATCGTAGTCTTTGCGATGTCCACGCGTGTAAAGCATGAAATTTATAAGACTGGTCCCACCAATACCACGACCCTTAGGCCAATTACAAACACCACCTTTGAGACCCTGGCATGCGTTGGGTGTCGGATCGGATTTGTAACCCCAATTGTACCGTGTCATTTGGGTAAGTGCAGCTGTGAGCGGGACATCGCTAGAAAAAGAAAGAGAGAGGATTTTTCGATTAATAGAGATATTTTTCCAATCCTCAGCTTCCGATGCCTTCAAGTACTTAAGTCCAAACTTCGTTTTACTTTCTTAAGAAGTGCTAACGACGCAGACAAACGAGCGACGTGTTTAACTTGATACTGGTTCAGGCGGTTATTTTTCGCATTTGCAGCGGCTCGCTACCTCTGTTTTGGATCGAGCATAGAAATGTGTACTATCATAGGGAGGATCACCTGACCAGACCATTATCCAAAATTAAAGAAAACTAATTTCGAATCACCGTCATCCATTGGCAGGGAATGTTAGCCCCTCCGAAAATATCTCTAACATAAAATAAATTGTAGATCTCAAGACGCACATACACAAATTGAAGCAAGAGCTCGGCAGAACAACCGAACCGAACCGAAAGAACGGGAATGTTGAATGCGCCACTTTAAGGTCACATGCAAATGCAAAGTGTACTCCTTCTATGGTGCGAAGATAGTGTCAGGATTTAGTCTGCCAGAATATCCAGACCGCACTTGTCATCTCTCAGACTCTCCGCTTGAAATAGATGATGTTCGGTCTCTTATAAGGCTGTTTGTGGGAAGAACATTGAGACTCGCTCCGAATGAATGGCATACGAGCGGCAAAATTATGCAGTACTTGTGTACTGAGTCCATCTACATCTCTGTAGATATACATATGTACTATTGCGAAATATTACATCAACCTCTAAGCTACAGCTGAGATCACATCAGAAGATTACCACTTCCGCTCTCAAGTAGGTGGCCGACCAATACCCTTGAAAGTTGGTAGCAACACCTTTTGTCTTTGCTACAGGTGTTCCCGGCGGACGACCAGACAATTATGTTGCTGCCCTGTACTTAAAGCAGCATCGTGGTTGTATACAGGATAAAGCAGTGCCGGCTGTCGAGTGGCATTTACCAATTCTTCGATTTGTGGTGTGCGCCCTTATGTTCAATCAGCAAAAGGAGGGAACTACAGTTTACTCTGAGCCGCCTCCGAAAGGTTAAGCGGTTTTTATGATGAGCTTTGATTTCGTGTCAGAAGTACACGCGTAGCGCTTTACATTCCTAGCCGAGGAGCGGCCGTAATGAGAAAAATCAATTTTGTATAATTTTGTATGTTGACCTGACTTGAACTCTGATCTTAGTACGCGCAGCTAACCGTACGGTACTTGCTATTCACCGAATTATGACATCACGGAGTGGATAATAAAAGGAGTCAGGGCGTATAAAGAGAATAGTTCTGAATGACGGTAAAGGAATTGGAAATTTTGGGAAAGTAGATGCATTCTTTTGCTATTACTACTCTCCTCAGGTGTTCCTGCCTCCAAAAATTTGGGAGGAATGCAGTATGCTGTTTTCTTTAGTGTCTTTGTCGCTAGAAACATATTGATTGCCATGGCATAGTTGATGACGCCACTCCTTGGAGCTATACGGTAAGCACAGCAGGTCCTAATGAAAGGTTGTTTTATCGTTGTTGCCTTGAGTGGGCCTATAATGTGATGTTTGAGAGATAAGAAGAAGATATCTCATCCAACGAAAGAGTCCCTTTAAACCTCAATTCGGTAAGCTATTTATATAGAGCTCATGCTAGAGCTGCTGTTAGGTAAAGAGTTTTTTTTATAGCAAATTCTGCCGAATAAAAATCGACTCAAATTTAAAGCCACGCTGCTCAGTAGCAGAATTTTTTTTATTTTAAATAATATGAAAATACCTTTCAAAATCTTTCCAACTTACCTCAAGAAAGTCTCCTGATCGCCCGCCTCCAATAGCAGCACAGTGGCATTGCGAATCTCACTCAAGCGATTCGCAAGAACGCAACCACCCGAACCAGCGCCGATCACAATGAAATCATAGGCCTCTTCGAATATTTGCGTGTCTGGTAGGCGTGTATTCAGCAGCGAAGTTTCGAAATTACGCGCCAACTCGACAAGTGGCTGAGCATTGATTAGCAGTGGCAAAGTGGCAATCCAAATGCCAATGAGGCAATACTGATGGTTGACTGACATACTTGCATTTATTATTAACGGTAATCAACAGAAAGGATGACGGGTGGCAGGCAGCAACCGTGGACGGGGCAACTTGCAAAAAGGAGGGAAACTGAAAAGCAAATATTTGTTGCATATTTAGCTTAAACACTGAAGTTGTGCAAAAAAAGAGTTGTGAGCAAATTGAAGCTTTTATTTTTATAAACATTTATTTATTAGTTGCACTCATGTTAGCCTAAATACTTACATACTTACATATGTACATACCAACACATACCAACACTCGTGTATGCCTATGCAATAAATAAGCGTCGAAATCACTTAGCATTGAGGTGTTAATTGTGCATGCTGATTTTACTTCTAAATTAAATTCTAATGCGAATTCTCAGCAGTCGAACGCTTAAGTGGGTAAATAGCGCACGACCTTGGGCGCCATCTATTGCATAACTTTTGCTGCTGATTATTGAGTGCAAACATTACACATTCATTCATTGTTGGCTCTAATACGAAAAAAAAATTCATTCCACCGAAAATTTTCTCGACTAAATGAAATCATTGTATAAATAAAACCAAAATGATGACAGAGGAAAGCTATTGAAACTCTAAAGAGGAATTGACGGGAGGAAGGAAAGACGTAGCTAGATCAGATTGAAATGGCTATCGATGTGCAAGCTTCAATACACTAGAGCCAGCATGAGCCCATTGTGATACCCACCGATCGCTAAGCTTCACTATCTATCTGCTTTGATTCCCTTAAAACTTCCATTAGATAAATTATCTTGATTTCTTGTATTTTATACGATTCAACGATGAAAGTAGCTCCTAGATACCTAGCGCTTCCCAAAGCGGGCAATCACATAAGAGATGAGAAACCATTTCTAACTTCTAAGTGAATAATGACTTATTACAGCTTTTATAGTATCTCTTGAAGACAATTTTTATCTTCCCGCAAGTCATCGTGACCTGTTAATACCACTATAACCTTAAAGATGTCCACTCTTTTGGGAGAGCGTATTTTGCGTGACCTTTTCTTTTTCCATTACTCCAAATTTGTCTGGGAATTCTGCATTTAGCAACATAGTTCTATCTTAATTCAGCCTCCTCACAAGTGAAGCCTCTGAGTAGCAGTTTACAAGGTAGGAAAAGGCACACTAATGCGTTCCTTGCGGGCGTGAATCTGCTTGGTCGTAAGTTGCCTTGCGAATTCATTCACCTTTCAACTTTCCTCCATTCTCCTGTGACCAGGAACCTCAAGCCTGTATCTCGCAAGCTCTTATAGAGCAGATCTAGAGCCTTCCTGTCTCTATTTCTTTCTGGCTCTTGTTATCAACGTTGGCGCACCCACGAGCTCAGATACTCATACGTACAACTAAATAAGAATCGAAGGTTTTGCTGCTATAAAAGTGATATTGAAAGTCAAGCTACATGCTCTTGTCATGAATCTTTGAAAGACAGAACCTTTATTATTTACCAGGATGCGTAAGATCCCCCCTTCTAAAGCCTCCTTCTATAGAAGGCGTTTGTTTGCATTTGTTCAAGAAAGTGGGCAGAGCCACTGAAGGAATGCAAGACTTCGCTTCTTCACAGGCGAGTCGAGGCTTGACGAAAATATTAGTGTGGGATACTTCTGTTGGAAATCTCCCATCCTCAGATGGTTTTGGTGTTCAGTCCATTGCAGTGGTTTTCAGGCGAATGAAGCTGAAATCAAAGAAGTGGTGACGAAATTGCTTCAAAGTGTGATTTCTAAGGGAAAGAGTAAGGCCTATTGTAGCCTTGGGCTCGCTCGCTGTGAAGCAATGTTTGTCACCTCTGTTGAGTTGGTTCCACCTGGAGCATCCCTTTTCGCTTCGAAGCTGTGGGACAAATAGCAGCAGGCTCAACTGAATTGTAGTTCCCAGCAATTCCTCTGAAACCCGGTACCCATAGATTTTTAGTTCTGAAGTTTTTCACTCATTTCAACTACAAATCGGTTGAGCTTGCTCATATGGGTAGCAACCTTGTTGTTGTTGTTGTTGTAACCGCAAAATTATTCCCCAAAGTCCTTTTTGGGAATGTTGCGGGAGTGACAGTCCTTGGCCGGATAAAAGTCCGGGTCGTTCCGGTATAAAGACCCGACTGTCGCGGGAACTATTGGATTTTAGTCGCCTCTTACGACAGGCATACCTTACCGCGGGTAAATTCTCGAGCCCCTAACCCGCAGGGGTGGGTAGCAACCTTCGTTATTGGTGCATGAAGCGCTAGTAGGTGAGGTACTCCAGGGGTACAGTGAAGTGGAAGTTCAGTGAAGATCTTTTCAATCCCAACGACCAAATCTCTCCAATGGGGAGACTTGGAATTTTTCCAGAGACACACTATCGTAAGTATTTGAAGGAAAGCTGATATTTTCTATGCACTTTCATATTTCACTGGCATTGACATCAGACGAGACTGTAAATTTGTGATAAGCACTTAGCGGTTCAATAAGTGAAAAGTGATTCAGTGTCAGTTTCTACTCTCTCAGTTTTCACAACGGACGTATCTCACGTATCCCTCAGTATCAGCTGCTTCCACCTAACCTAACCTGACGCTGGCCTCTTTCATATGACATTTTTTTTACAGTAATAATGTACGCACGTAGTACAAAGTTATTTACCATCTTCTCTTCGCTCCATACTTTCGAAAATTCTTAACCTTGAAACAGCCTTTGTTTTTGCGCTGCGTCTAAAGGTAACTAACTTTTATTAACTCAAGTTCAAAATCACTTAACTGCAACGAATGTGAGTGCTTAGCTATTTTTGCAGCAACAAAAACCGAAACATGTTTTGGAGTAGCAAAAACAAAAGATATTGAGACAAAAGAGATGGAAAAAAAACTATAGGAAAACGCGATCAAAACAAAGTAAAATGGCAAAGACCGGTTCAACGACGGATTGAATGAATCAAAACAAAAGCGATTAAGCTCTAACAACAAATATACATACATATGTACATACATATATCTCTCATATACGAGTATATAGACTCTTTAGAGACGTATAACTTGGCTCTAAAAACGTGGTATACAATCAAGTCAACAACTGTTGCTTGGCACCTAAAAACAATCAACTCATAAGCATTTAATGAATTCATTCATATGTATGTACATATGTAAATTTGCAGATAAATGAGGAATACGAAATATTTTACAATATGCACATATATTTGTAACTATTTTATTGTAATTTTATTAGTTTTTGTTGATTTCGCTTTACCATAATTTCTGCACACTCAAGAGTGCGTCGACGTCGACGTTCGGCATTTTATTATTGTCAAGAAATCAACTTACCAATTGATTGAGTTGACCTTGAAATAAGCACTTTGTAATGATATAGGTACTATAAGTACTATAAGTATACACAATAATATATATATTTTAATGATACTGACAAATTAAATTTTTGCAAATAATATTAAACACAAAAACACTTAACCAAAGTGGGGAGAAGAGGGAAATAACAATATTTTAGACTTATTAACATGCAAGGTGTTTCGTTATGTGTCTCTTGTAAATTTTTAATGGCGACAACCTCATATAAATAAAGATGTTTTCTAGACAAGTGGTTTTTAAGAAGAAATAAAACGCAAATAATTTAATGTTGTTGTAAATATAAGACACTTGCCATTATGTTCTGTAAATAATTTCGGACAAATGACCGCCGTGGCTCGACTGAATTCAAGCCGAAAGGTCCAATTTTCGACCACTTTCTACGGCAATTAAGACCGTAAGAACTTGCCAAATATTATATTTCAAGGCTTCAATAATCTCGAACTTATCTGCACAGGCAAACGGCTTTACATACCCACTCAACATTATGTCCGGTGGTTTTAACTCGCACGATTTGGACGCCACGCCATGGATACACAACGCGAGATAATGCGCTCACCAAATTTTCATTGATTCCTTCGCGGTCTGCGTGGCATGCAGCATCGCCTTGTTAGGACCAAAGGTCATCTGCAACAACATACTCTAATTCATGGCTCCTCTGCATTCCCCATTGACATTATTGGATACCCTCTGACTATGTAACGGCGCCCCACAATGGCTTTGGAATATCATCACGCCAAATGCATTCGTTTTGATTCGGCCAAGAGTGAGTGTCTTTGCTGAAAAAATTTTTCTTCAGTAATTCGGCATTGGTGGTCATTTTGTTTCGGATGCATTCACCGAACGCGGGACGCGCGGCTTAAAATTTTTCACGAATTTTATATGTTGCCCGCAAGCCAAGAGCTCCTTTCGAAAAATCTTCCATAAAGTGAATGGGCACAGCTCCATTTGCTGCGCGCGATGACGAATGAACATATTCGGGTCTCCTTCGGTACTCTCTTCCACAGCAGCAACAGCGTCTTCGGCGAGCACTGTACGACGACTCTGAGGATACACGTAGTGCAAGACCGATCCATGATTGCTCGAATTAGCTACTCTATTGATCCCGAATATAGCACCAATTACAAAACTGAGTATAAATCACCTAACAGCTCTTGAAATGACCAATTCGCCATTATATAGCGTCATTGAAAACCACACATCTAAAAAACAGAAAACACCCTTTATATGTGGTTGACGTTTTTTAACCGCTGAAACGATTCTCAGCCGATCTCCTTAGAAACAGCTTAGTACAGAAATCATAATCTATTATTAAGAGGATGTCGTCTTTGAGTGACGCTGGTTTGGGATCATTTTCTTCGATTAACGACTACGACATCCCCTATTGAACTCCCTTGTGCATGTTTTGCACGTCAGCAGAATAACGCAACAATGTGCAATTATGTAAGTGAATTGTCTATGCATTGTTGTTGTGTGTAAATGTTCTGCTAATGGTGCGCACGCGCGTTCCATTAATATTTAAATTGCCCATTAAAATCACACACCCACATACATATATGCGTAATACAAATATAATTTTAAAAAGTTTTGAATTGAGTACATCACTATCACACAATGTTTGCCAAAACGTTTAACTCAGCAAAGGAATATGTACAATAAACAATTTTTTCTCACCTCATCTCGTTTTGTCGCATCTCGTCTCGTTTTGTCTCATTTCGTCTCGTCTCGTTTTGTCTCGTCTCGTCTCGTGTCGTATCGTACCGTCTCGTCTTGTCTCATCTCTACTCGTCATATCTCGTCTCGTCTCATCTCGTCTCGTCTCATCTCATCTCGTGTCGTATCGTACCGTCTCGTCTTGTCTCATCTCTACTCGTCATATCTCGTCTCGTCTCATCTCATCTCGTCTCGTCTCGTCTCGTCTCGTCTCGTCTCGTCTCGTCTCGTCTCGTCTCGTCTCGTCTCGTCTCGTCTCGTCTCGTCTATCTCGTCTCGTCTCTTCTCGTCTCGCCTCGTCTCGTCTCGTCGATCTCCTCTCGTCTCGTCTTGTCTCCTCTCGGCTCGTCTCTTCTCGTAATGTCGCGTCTCGTCACGTTTTGTCTCATCTCGCCTCGTATTTTTCCTCTCTTCTCATCTTGTCTCGTCTCGTCTCGTCTCGTCTCGTCTCGTCTCGTCTCGTCTCGTCTCGTCTCGTCTCGTCATGTCTCGTCTCGTCTATGTGGGTATGTTCGGGTTACAAGCAATTCTCATACGTTATACTTAAGTGCGAATAAACATAGATCCGAATGGTGCATTTCACTGACTTCGAGGCATCCATATTGATATTTTCTTGAAAGGCATTGAACAGCGAAGTGATGACACACACATATAAAGATCATATACATAATAAAAAACTAAATATCTTGACTCAGATGCTGCTAAATTAAAATTTTTATCATTCTGGGGTAAAAATTGCTCATAACACAGAAAGCCACAGCAACGTGAGGTCATATCCGCTAATATTTATGTAAAAATTTATGTGGTTTGTATTCTTTTTTATTAAAGTTCTACTTCTGTTCTCATTTCAACGTGTCTTAAACTTTCATTGACTTATAATTCCACTCACAAATCAACGATAAAGCAAATATACGCATTTTAATCAGAATTTGCTCATCACCCTAAATGCATAAGCTCACTCACGCTTGTCGCCAACTGTTAGCGTAGTAAATATCTATGTGTTGAAGAAATGTTGGAAATAATTTCTAGAGACGTTATTTTTCTTTTTCAACAGTAATTTTTGTCACAAATTTGAGTCCTCACTTAAAAATTCTTTGAGTTAAGCAACTTTCACCAAAAATTTTCATCAAAGTCATATTGTGATCGTTTTGAATTATTCATGAATGCCTTGTGTTGATAGAAATTTTGGCAGTGATTAAATTAGAAAAATGTTTCATAGAAGAGCCACCAAATAAAAAGACATACTAATAATTAATGGAAATCGTCAGGTATTGCTTTAAGTTTCTCATGAAATTTACTGTTATGGATAAGAGAAAAAAGTCTTCGTCTATTCAAACTAACAACTGCTTGACAGCCGACGTTTCAATAAAATTTTTCATGAAAACAATTTGGTAAATCATCATTCGTGTTAAAAGTTTTTTCCGTGTTTCATACTCGTATAAGGTTTTTTTTTTATTATAGACAAGGGAAAAGTGCGAAAGAAATATGCCGAAGAAGTGTTGTTGTTTACGCTGAGAATGATATCCGTATTTTTTTTACATTTAAGAACAATACCGTGAATTTAAATTTAATTCTGTTGTGAAAGATGCACCGGTTGATCAGTCACACAAAAACTAAAGTTAAAAGTTAAATAATTGATTTGAATTGAAATAATGTAACAAAATATTGTGATGGTTGAATTCGAAGAAACCTGACTATTATGTGCTGCTACAAGCGAAGACGAAACAAGTAATGCTGAACTCTTCTGTCAATAATTAGTCTACTGACAACACGGTCTTCACAAAAAATATCTTCAGAACTGATCATTGGGAAAGGTGTTGTGTCCCATCATAAGAACGCCAGATCAAATATGAAGACTAGTAAAAAGAACCCCATTATTTTTTCAATAGATAGCTTTCATTGATTTCATTCTGCTAATTTTGATGGAAATATTGCTCCGAGGTGTAGTAAAAGGTTATTTGTCGAAAACGTCGATAAAGTAATGAAAATCGT